AAATGCTAGGAGATTTTAGAATCTAACAACTTGTTTATATCTGTAGTAAGAAATTATCTTCCCCCAAGTTTACAAAAGGGTAAGTGACCATTTTGTAAATGACAGATAAGATCCATGGCACATTTTGTTAGAAAATATATTGCCGGGTATTTCAACGTTAGACAGATATCTTTTTCCAAAGGGAAGTTGAATAGATGAGAGAAGTTGAATAGATGAGAGAAGTTGAATAGATGAGAGAAGTTGAATAGATGAGAGAAGTTGAATAGATGAGAGAAGTTGAATAGATGAGAGAAGTTGAATAGATGAGAGAAGTTGAATAGATGAGAGAAGTTGAATAGATGAGAGAAGTTGAATAGATGAGAGAAGTTGAATAGATGAGAGAAGTTGAATAGATGAGAGAAGTTGAAGAGATGAGAGAAGTTGAAGAGATGAGAGAAGTTGAAGAGATGAGAGAAGTTGAAGAGATGAGAGAAGTTGAAGAGATGAGAGAAGTTGAAGAGATGAGAGAAGTTGAAGAGATGAGAGAAGTTGAAGAGATGAGAGAAGTTGAAGAGATGAGAGAAGTTGAAGAGATGAGAGAAGTTGAAGAGATGAGAGAAGTTGAAGAGATGAGAGAAGTTGAAGAGATGAGAGAAGTTGAATAGATGAGAGAAGTTGAATAGATGAGAGAAGTTGAATAGATGAGAGAAGTTGAATAGATGAGAGAAGTTGAATAGATGAGAGAAGTTGAATAGATGAGAGAAGTTGAATAGATGAGAGAAGTTGAATAGATGAGAGAAGTTGAATAGATGAGAGAAGTTGAATAGATGAGAGAAGTTGAAGAGATGAGAGAAGTTGAAGAGATGAGAGAAGTTGAAGAGATGAGAGAAGTTGAAGAGATGAGAGAAGTTGAAGAGATGAGAGAAGTTGAAGAGATGAGAGAAGTTGAAGAGATGAGAGAAGTTGAAGAGATGAGAGAAGTTGAAGAGATGAGAGAAGTTGAAGAGATGAGAGAAGTTGAAGAGATGAGAGAAGTTGAAGAGATGAGAGAAGTTGAAGAGATGAGAGAAGTTGAAGAGATGAGAGAAGTTGAAGAGATGAGAGAAGTTGAAGAGATGAGAGAAGTTGAATAGATGAGAGAAGTTGAAGAGATGAGAGAAGTTGAAGAGATGAGAGAAGTTGAAGAGATGAGAGAAGTTGAAGAGATGAGAGAAGTTGAAGAGATGAGAGAAGTTGAATAGATGAGAGAAGTTGAATAGATGAGAGAAGTTGAATAGATGAGAGAAGTTGAATAGATGAGAGAAGTTGAATAGATGAGAGAAGTTGAATAGATGAGAGAAGTTGAATAGATGAGAGAAGTTGAATAGATGAGAGAAGTTGAATAGATGAGAGAAGTTGAATAGATGAGAGAAGTTGAATAGATGAGAGAAGTTGAATAGATGAGAGAAGTTGAATAGATGAGAGAAGTTGAATAGATGAGAGAAGTTGAATAGATGAGAGAAGTTGAATAGATGAGAGAAGTTGAATAGATGAGAGAAGTTGAATAGATGAGAGAAGTTGAATAGATGAGAGAAGTTGAATAGATGAGAGAAGTTGAATAGATGAGAGAAGTTGAATAGATGAGAGAAGTTGAATAGATGAGAGAAGTTGAATAGATGAGAGAAGTTGAATAGATGAGAGAAGTTGAATAGATGAGAGAAGTTGAATAGATGAGAGAAGTTGAATAGATGAGAGAAGTTGAATAGATGAGAGAAGTTGAATAGATGAGAGAAGTTGAATAGATGAGAGAAGTTGAATAGATGAGAGAAGTTGAATAGATGAGAGAAGTTGAATAGATGAGAGAAGTTGAATAGATGAGAGAAGTTGAATAGATGAGAGAAGTTGAATAGATGAGAGAAGTTGAATAGATGAGAGAAGTTGAATAGATGAGAGAAGTTGAATAGATGAGAGAAGTTGAATAGATGAGAGAAGTTGAATAGATGAGAGAAGTTGAATACATTTGACTTTGTATAAGGTCTTTGTTACCTTTGATAAACACAGACAAAGAACTGATCATATTGTTAGCATCTACAAGGGGGACCAAACTTGGTAGCATCTACAAGGGGGACCAAACTTGGTAGCATCTACAAGGGGGACCAAACTTGGTAGCATCTACAAGGGGGACCAAACTTGGTAGCATCTACAAGGGGGACCAAACTTGGTAGCATCTACAAGAGGGACAAAAGTACTGGAGATTTTGCTATAATGAATCCAAACTGTCAACATGTTTCTAATATAAAAAGAAGTGTATTTTCTTTCACCAGATATGATCGTATGTTGTATGGCATAGTATGTTAAATGTTGTTGTATGGCAAAGCGTATCATATGATGTTGTACAGCATAGTTAGTATGTCAAATGTTGTAGTATACTGCAGTATGTCTCGTAGTGTGTCAAAGTATGTCATATTTTGTGGTCTCCAAGAATATTTTTTTTAAATGCTTATAAAACATCTGGCAATTTGACCAAAAGAAAATGGACAAGTTCAAGCCTGGCTATTTGACCAAAAGAAAATGGACAAGTTCAAGCCTGGCAATTTGACCGAAAGAAAATGGACAAGATCAAGTGTTAACTAGCATGAAGATAGCAACAGGTTTAACTATACAAGAAATTCACCTTACGCTGAAAAGTAAACAACACATTCATTTGGTTCAACAGCCTTTATTTGCTTTAATGCAGATGTAGGTGCTGTGCTGCCCGTACATTTGAAATGATCATACTGGTGTTGATGACGATGGCTTAATTAGAATCAGAAGAAGTTCACACAAGTCCCTATTTTTAACAATAATTGCAACAAGGCAAACATCTCATCAAACTCTGAGAAGAAAAGCCAGGACCGAACAACAAACAAAATCAGCTAATTCTTTTACTAGACAATAGACCATCACAATAAACGTTGGGTCTTGCCCATGCCACCTACTTAGCATGCCATAAGCATTTAAATCATGCGAGCGATCGCAAGGTTAGAAAAAATGTACACCAAAGCTATGAGGTAGACTATTTGACTCTAGTCAATATGAAACAGGACAAACTAACTGTTCACAATAACTGGAAACTTCGTAACAAGTGAGGATAAGCTTGGCCACAAGTAAAGATAAGCTCCATCACAAGTAAAGATAAGCTCCGTCACAAGTAAAGATAAGCTCCGTCACAAGTAAAGATTAGCTCCGTCACAAGTTAAGTATCACATAAAATAGACCTGTTACAAATAAACCTTTTTCTGTCCGCTTTACCTGGGGAGGCGTCACGGTTACAAATAAAATAGTTCTTAAAATATACATTGATAAAAAAATATTAATTTCTTCATTTTCAAAATTTCAAATATGAAGGGAGCAAGCACGCAACACACATCTTGCTTTGTTATAGTATAGCATGACTTGTACAGAGATTCAGCTAATTAAAAACTACAAGCCCTCAGAAGCAAATTATAAAAGACCGAAGACATTAAACAAAACAAATTATATGTCGTTTTTTTTAAAAATTAAATATTATTCAAGTCTATCTATAACAATAAAATCTTGCCTCTTTGTATTTAAAAATGTGCAGAGATAATCCAGGGATCGCCAGAGTTATCCTTGTATGGTTCTAGACATTGGGCTGACCAGAAAAGTAGACTGTAAGCCTTTCATTGTGCCGGCCACTCAAGAATTTTATAGTCCTGGACCTTGTGCAGGCCACCACACAAGAATTTTATAATCCTAGACATTGTGCTTGCCACACAAGTAGGAAGTGGGCCTTTAAAATAATTCATTGATTTATGTGACCCTCATAAAGAGAAAATCAGCTGCTTTTGTATTGAGATTTTTGTCTTTAATTTGGGAACAAGTTTTGAAAAATTAATCCCGGTAACCGGTCGTCAAAATCAAATTGTAAAAATTGTTGGATAATACGTATGACATAAGCTGTTTGAACAGCTCTTGAAGCTGTTATTTTTTTAAAGAAGACAATTCTAATGCAAATTTGCTGCTGAAAGCTGCCGCAGCCTGTAAACGACCAGTTGAACAGCTACTCCAAATATGCTGCTGAGGGCTGCCGCAGCCTGTAAACGGCCAGTTGAACATCACTAATCAAATAACTAAACCATTAAAATAGAAAGAGCACTTTATCATAAGAGGTTATGTTATTATTATGTTAAGATCATGTATTATGTTTGATGATAAAAACTTTATCACAGTTAGCACATATCATGAAATGAAGAAAAAAAGAAAGCTACCAACAAGCATTCGGGCAGTGCTCTCATTGCTAGCAATACTCTTGAACTTACGTTAAACTAAGTTTAGTTTTAAACGTCCAGTTATATGTAGAACATGTCATTTATGTAGTATATGTCATTTATGTAGTAAATGTCATTTATGCAGTACATGTCATTTATGTAGTACATGTCACTTACATTATATTTAAAACAAAATAATTTAAAATTAATCAAATTCTAAATTTTAAAATATATTAATTTAAGACTTTAAAATATGTTTCAATTGAGGTAAAACATTCCCCATAAAAAAATTATTACCTGTTTAGGTAATAGATCATTCAAAAGATTAAACAAAATTTGTATCATTATATAAAAAAAAGACCTTATTTTAGCCACTTAAATACTTATAATAAAAAATATCTCTTGTTAAAACAAGGCAGTGAACATGCTATAAATAAACAGCAAAGACAAGAAAACAGAGAAATCTAAAGCCCAAATTTCAACAAGTCCAGTAACTAGTTTTGAGTTTAGAGTTATCCCCCTTTGTATCACAAATTCAGCTCAAATTCTACTCAATAGCTTGTGTGCAGCTGAAAATAAAATGACATCTAAATCACTGATAAGTTTATAGTATCCTAATCTAGGGACTAGTGACAATTAAGTGAAAATAAAGTTATTAAAAAAAAAAAAATATGTATACAACCGTCTTAGCAAGTACTAGCTATACGGGTCGATCGTATATCCAGAATATTTACTAGTAGACCTGCCATAGTGACGAGGACTGTTGCTGCAACTGCTTGTCTGAGACAGGGTGACATCGTCATCCCCAAGAGACTCCTTACTGAGGTTAAGTGGCTGGGGTGGACACTGGTGATGGTCATCTACTGACCGTCTACGTTCTAGGGAGCACGACACGGTCCCTGCTCTGGTGCCCGCGGGAGGCCAGGTGTCAGTGGATCTGATACGAAACTGTCTCTCCACATCCTCCTCCATGACATTACTGGACTTGTTCTTGACCACAAGGTCCAGAGGCCTGTCCAGAGGGTCCGCCTTGCTGCCTGTATCGGAAGAAGATGGGGATACCGAAGACCCGTACGCCCCGTAAATGCTGCTCCTGTCAGATCGAGTCATGACTGAAGTATTGATTGACTGAATGTCCAGTGTTGATCTCGACTCACTAGTAGAGCAAGGAAAAGAAAAACTACGCTCCAAGGCGACTCGAGATGGACGAAAACTGTGGGCTAGTGATGGCTTAGTGAAGTCTGATGATGACTGCTTCCTGTGTTTCATGAGCTTGTGTTTGTACTGGGTATATTCTTCATCATCCGTCGAGTCGTCAACCGGAAAAGATGATGTGAGCGGCCCAACACCGTGAGGTGACGGAAGCGGCCCAAGGCCATGAGGTGACGGAATCGGCCCAAGGCCGTGAGGTGACTGAAGAGGCCCTAGGCCATGAGGTGATGAGAGCGGCCCGATGCCGTGAGAAGACCTCTGATCATTAGATATGTAAGTTCTTGGTGCGGGTAACAGAGAGGGCTCAAACTGATGGACGTGAGAACTGATCGGCCTGGGAAAGGACACACTTGACGGACTTCCAGTGGATTGGACCAGATGTCCACTCAGCAAGGGAGGCGAGTCTTCTATTTTGATCACCGACTTACAACTCGGCCTGGCAAGAGAATCTTCCACTTTGATAAGTTTCCCGCTAAGGCCTACGATGAGGGGAGATGAAGGACAGCTGGAGTAAGATGAATAGTCCTCTTCTTTTATAACCAAGGATGGACTCTGACTGCAGGGTGAGGTGGACGAGTGGTCGCCTGTGCTGATGTACAGACTGGATACACCTGGGATCTCGTGCTGTGTGGAGGACGATGGAAATCCCAGCATCTCGAGAACCCTCTGAGACATGCCCACGGCTGCATTCTGTGTGGCCTGGTAGTCTGAGCACTGCTTCATGTGCTGTCTCAAGGTCTCAATGATGCTGTTTCTCTGCTCAGTTAGTCCTCCAAGGATGTTGATCAGCTCAGAATTCTGGGATTGCAGTTTGCGAATTTCCTTAAAAATAAGCAACAGTAGGCAATTTAATATGAATACAGTAGGACTCAAATTTCTAGGACTATCTTACTCTAGGACTATTTTACTCTGTCATAAATGTCAAGTTCTATGATTGACCCCATAATTTGTTCATCAATTAGTGCATGTCCAGTATTGACAGATGTTTAAAGCCCATAATTTGTTCATCAATCAGTGCATGTCCTGTATTGACACATGTTTAAAGCCCATAATTTGTTCATCAATCAGTGCATGTCCTGTATTGACAGATGTTTAAAGCCCATAATTTGTTCATCAATCAGTGCATGTCCTGTATTGACAGATGTTTAAAGCCCATAATTTGTTCATCAATTAGTGCATGTCCCGTATTGACAGATGTTTAAAGCCCATAATTTGTTCATCAATTAGTGCATGTCCTGTATTGACAGATGTTTAAAGCCCATAATTTGTTCATCAATTAGTGCATGTCCCGTATTGACAGATGTTTAAAGCCCATAATTTGTTCATCAATCAGTGCATGTCCTGTATTGACAGATGTTTAAAGCCCATAATTTGTTCATCAATCAGTGCATGTCCTGTATTGACAGATGTTTAAAGCCCATAATCTCTAGGGTGTTACAACACCACCCTTTATCCAAACCTTTATTTTAAAATAGGTAAATATTGCATCAGTGGATCCCAACACAGATTGCTCTTTTGCAAATGATGATGTTTGCAGGAATGGATCCTGAAAGAGTGTGTCTAAAAAGAGCAGCCAGTTTGGTCTAGATTCTTTGTACCACATCAGTGCTTCTCAAGTTGTCAGTAAAACCAGAAAGAAATAATTCTTCAAGACACAGGCTGTAGCACCTAACATTTGACTGCTCTGACAGCCACAGAAAAGTTCAAAACTAATTTTAGTAATGTGATTGTAAGAGTCAAGATCCACCCCCCCCCCCAACCTCTCCCTAACCCCAAACAACAACAACACTGCAGCAGGATTCAACAGTATTTCAACATGTCAAGTAAGAAATGATACAAGGATTCACACTGAGCCCACAGTAGAAGACATGGCAATAACCAACGCCTTTAGGGAAAAATGTAATGGTGAATAGTTTTCTAGTTAGAGACATATTTGAAAGCGTTTCAAATAAACCCGGACAACTGGTAATAGTTCTCACAGGATTGAGACAACTGGGAATAGTCCTCACAGGATTGAGACAACTGGGAATAGTCCTCACAGGATTGAGACAACTGGGAATAGTCCTCACAGGATTGAGACAACTGGGAATAGTCCTCACATGATGGAGACAACTGGGAATAGTCCTCACAGGATTGAGACAACTGGGAATAGTCCTCACAGATTTAAGACAACTGGGAATAGTCCTTACAGGATGGAGAAAACTGGGAATAGTCCTTACAGGATTGAGACAACTGGGAATAGTCCTCACAGATTTGAGACAACTGGGAATAGTCCTCACAGGATTGAGAGAACTGGGAATAGTCCTAACAGGATGGCGAAAACTGGGAATAGTCCTCACAGGATTGAGACAACTGGGAATAGTCCTCACAGGATCGAGACTAACAGCCCTCCTCCCGACAGACAGCTCAATGCATGAGGCAAACAGAACAGCTGCTGCACAGCACAAGAGACAAGCCCGAAAAGTAAGAGTCAACTCAGAACCTGGGGCTGTCCCATCCATCCCCTGCACCAGAACATTTTATACCAGAATCGGCCTGATCGGCCATCTGCACACCCACACCCAGATTCAGCCCCAGCACAATGCCAACACCCAAACCCAGATTCAGCCCCAGCACAATGCCCATGTTAAAAATATCATGATCATCTGCACACCCACACCCAGATTCAGCCCCAGCACAATGCCGACACCCACACCCAGATTCAGCCCCAGCACAATGCCGACACCCACTCCCAGATTCAGCCCCAGCACAATGCAGACACCCACACCCAGATTCAGCCCCAGCACAATACCGACACCCACACCCACACCCACCCCCATATACAGCCCCAGCACAATGCCGACACCCACACCCAGATTCAGCCCCAGCACAATGCCGACACCCACACCTAGATTCAGCCCCAGCACAATGCCGACACCCACACCCAGATTCAGCCCCAGCACAATGCCGACACCCACACCCAGATTCAGCCCCAGCACAATGCCGACATCCACACCCAGATTCAGCCCCAGCACAATGCCCATGTTAAAAATGTCATGATCCATTTTTGATGGATGAACTAACAGCTCTACCAAGATGGCAGAGACAAATGTGGATGGCAGAGACAAATGTGGATGGCAAAGACAAATGTGGATGGCAGAGACAAATGTGGATGGCAGAGACAAATGTGGATGGCAGAGACAAATGTGGATGGCACAGACAAATGTGGACGCCAAATTTGACCATCTACTTAGCCCAAATCAGGTCCATACTACCCCTTGAAATTCTATTAAGTTTATGTTGATTAAAGCTCTCCTTCTTTTCAAACATTGTATCTTATTTTTCCCCCTTTTTTTTGCACTACAAATAGATGTAAGAAGATGGCATAAAAATGTGCTCATATTTTCTTCAAACTTTAGTACGGCCCCGCCCCTAACAGTGTGCCCCTTGTGGTAATCTCACACAGATGAGATTGTAGATAATCTCACACAGCTGAGATTGTAGATAATGTTTCACATAGTCAATGTCCGATTTAGAACTGACATCGTTAAAAAAAGTACTTTTGATTTTTTAAAATTATTTTACCTTAACTATTGAACAGAAAATATCTAGTTAACCGCCAACACCTAACTTGAACAAAACCTAATGTGCCGACCATTGACCTGGTAACTTTGAAGCTCAGTGGAACACTCACTGTCTGGCGGCCTGGAGTTAATGAAAGATCAAACATGTGCAAACCTTTTCATCTTAACAAAAGCAGTTGTTGTTAAGGATTTCAACAACAACAAAATTTTTAATTTGATAATATTTTGGATTTGGTCTTTTTTTTATTTTTCCAAATTTATCTGACTTCATTTCCTTGAGGTTTAGGGTTTCTCATTTAATGGAGTTGTTTCCCCTGGGGGGAAAAAGGGGAAAAAAGTGAGGGGAAAAAGTGGCACTCATCCTTTTTGAAATGTATTATATATGAAATTGAACATAGGCACTCATCCCTTTTGAAATTTATTATCTAATAATATGATTGTTAAGCAAAGGTCAAATATGACAGCTCCAAGATTTTAACGTTACAATTCATTTAAGCTTTGCAATGATTACATGCCGGTGGATAGGTGGCACCAGTGGATAAGTCACACTAATGGATAAGTCGCATCAGTTGATAGGTCGCACCCTTAATTTGGTGCCAACTAAGGGGATGTTTGAAGTTGACCCACAAATATGTCGCACCCTTAGCTTGGTCAATTACACGGCCCTCTTTTGAAACAAATACAACTAATATCACTGGTCAACAAATACAACTAATATCACTGGTCAAAAAATACAACTAACATCATTGGTCAACAAATACAACTAATATCACTGGTCAACAAATACAACTAACATCATTGGTCAACAAATACAACTAATATCACTGGTCAACAAATACAACTAATATCACTGGTCAACAAATACAACTAACATCATTGGTCAACAAATACAACTAATATCATTGGTCAACAAATTTTCCCAAAATCATGTTACTGAAGTAAAATTAGTGATTCCTTATCTGTTTTGATATGCTGAACACGAATACAACAGTCAAAGTATAAAAATGGCTAGAGTTTTCTTTTTGTACCCTACAATAAATTAATGTTTCCATCACGAAATGAAGGCCTATAGTACAGGCCTAAAGTTAATACCTGTAAAAAATCAAGTCATAGACTACGTCTTAGATTTCTTCAACAATCTTTTGTACAGCTGTTCAGGAGAATCTCTGAGGAGTGTCAAGCAGTAGTCAGCCAGCATTGTAGTGGACAATTGTGTCCAGCAGCAGTCAGCCAGCATTGTTATGGACCATTTTCCCCTCTTATCTCTGCTCCATTTTTGCGATATCTTAATGAAAACATTTGCCCTGTTCCAAACTAACCAACCACAGATGTAAGGGAAGAAATCCAGATTGTTCATAACTAACCAACCACAGATGTAAGGGAAGAAATCCAGATTGTTCATAACTAACCAACCACAGATGTAAGGGAAGAAATCCAGATGCAATGAAGGAAGTGGATCTTTAGTGACATGATGCAACCAAGTATCTGATAATGCATCAGCATGCCTTCTACTAGTTTTCTGCCCTATTATTCCTGAGAAATTTCGTCGACACTAGGCGAAAAGTATTCCATGTTTTGTTCGTATCACTGTGCAGAAAGTTGTTGAACCAAATCATCTTTGAAGAGCTCTTGAATCTGAGGACCAACAAAATCTCCCTCTTTAATCTTTGCTTCGCTGAGTCGAGGGAATTTTTCATGCAGGTGTAGAAAGCTGGTGAAGTCCAGTCTATGACTTTCACAAAGTTCTTCATCAAACCTCGATTGATGTGAAGGGGTGGTGACAAGATTTGGTGAGCCTCGACCAGAGCTGGGTGCCTAGAATTCTCCTCTCCAATGGCTACATTTTGTCTCGACCAGAGCTGGGTGTCTAGAAATCTCCTCTCAAATGGCTACATTTTGCCTCGACCAGGCCTGGGTGCCTAGAATTCTCCTCCCCATTGGCTACATTTTGTCTCGACCAGAGATGGGTGCCTAGAATTCTCCTCCCCATTGGCTACATTTTGTCTCGACCAGAGCTGGGTGCCTAGAATTCTCTCCAATGGCTACATTTTGTCTAGACCAGACCTGGGTGCCTAGAATTCTCCTCCCCATTTTCTACATTTTGTCTCGACCAGAGATGGGTGCCTAGAATTCTCCTCCCCATTGGCTACATTTTGTCTCGACCAGAGCTGGGTGCCTAGAATTCTCTCCAATGGCTACATTTTGTCTAGACCAGAGCTGGGTGCCTAGAATTCTCTCCAATGGCTACATTTTGTCTAGACCAGAGCTGGGTGCCTAGAATTCTCCTCTCCAATGGCTGAGCCCATTCCTTCCGCAAGTAGTGAAATTCCCTTGCCTGGCTTTACCAATGACACTAGAAACTCATGTATTTTGTATATCCCTAATGCAGACGAATTATAAGGGCAACAACCTACAAATCACCACAGAGGGTGCCGCCTGTACTTGTTATACTCGGTGGAATTCATTAGCTGCTTTCAGTTATTTGTATGTCTCTTTCAATTTATGTGGACAGCATGTGCTACTGGAACAGATGGAAGATTTATGTGGACAGCATGTGCTACTGGAACAGATGGAAGATTTTTGTGGACAGCATGTGCTACTGGAACAGATGGAAGATTTATGTGGACAGCATGTGCTACTGGAACAGATGGAAGATTTATGTGGACAGCATGTGCTACTGGAACAGATGGAAGATTTCTGTGGACAGCATGTGGTACTGGAACAGATGGAAGATTTTTGTGGACAGCATGTGCTACTGGAACAGATGGAAGATTTTTGTGGACAGCATGTGCTACTGGAACAGATGGAATATGTTTTCCATTGTGCAAAAACACAGCATTAAAACTACGCTTCGATGAGTCTGCAAATAGTCTTCATTTTCGTGGGTGACGAGAGATTTTTATGACATTCATGAGGCCCTCAATGTTGGAACAGATGACCAGATTACTTTCATTTCTGAAGAGAGGCTTTAACTGCTGGTGGCGCTTTGGATAAAAGTAATTGTGATATCTTCTTCCAGAAGAGTCCATTGTTGAAGTCTTGATGCACTCTAGGCTTATTTAAGATGTTGCTGCAGTCCTACTGGATACATTTACACAGTGAAACATTCTACTGTTGTAGTCTTGATGCACTCTAGGCTTATTTAAGATGTTGCTGCAGTCCTACTGGATACATTTACACAGTGAAACATTCTACTGTTGTAGTCTTGATGCACTCTAGGCTTATTTAAGATGTTGCTGCAGTCCTACTGGATACATTTACACAGTGAAACATTGAAAATGAAATTTATGTAATAACTTCAAAACTAGAGCCAATTAAAAACTTGTCCTATTTCTATTCATGTCCAGCACACAAAGATGCTAATGATTAAGGACTCCTTTAAGTCAGTCATGATTTCAATGTTGACCAGTGGATTTGGTCAATAGACTTCACAATAAAATGTCCATGACAAATTGAAAAGCAGTCTTTATAAACTACATGATCTTTAATAAACACTTTTTTTAAAACAAACCACTGCTCCAGTGTTAGCGAGAGCACGGAAAAAAACAATTCTCCAACGTTTCATATAAATGACTACTCCAAACTGAGTAACATTTAGCAAAATTGATTTTTATTTGATTGGTCGCACTCATTTTTTACGAAATTTTGGGTTAAAAAAAAAGTGTCTATTAGTCTATTAGTCCATTAGTCTATTAGTCCATTAGTCCACTAGTCCACTAGTCCATTAGTCCATTAGTCCATTAGTCCATTAGTCCATTAGTCTATTAGTCCATTAGTCTATTAGTCCATTAGTCTATTAGTCCATTAGTCCACTAGTCCATTAGTCCACTAGTCCACTAGTCCATTAGTCCATTAGTCCATTAGTCTATTAGTCCATTAGTCTATTAGTCCATTAGTCCACTAGTCCACTAGTCCATTAGTCCATTAGTCCATTAGTCTATTAGTCCATTAGTCTATTAGTCCATTAGTCCATTAGTCTATTAGTCTATTTGTCTATTTGTCTATTTGTCCATTAGTCCATTAGTCTATTAGTCTATTAGTCCATTAGTCTATTAGTCCATTAGTCTATTAGTCTATTAGTCTATTAGTCCATTAGTCTATTAGTATATTAGTCTATAAGTCTATTAGTCTATTAGTCCATTAGTCCATTAGTCCATTAGTCTATTTGTCTATTAGTCTATTAGTCCATTAGTCTATTAGTCTATTAGTCCATTAGTCTATTAGTCCATTAGTCCATTAGTCTATTAGTCTATTAGTCCATTAGTCTATTATTAGGTTGGTTTAAGAAGAAAAAACAACAAGACATAATATAAAGGTAGTTTGGCACATGATGAATATCCTAGTATAACCTAATCGAGCTACTAAAGACCGGGTCCCAGACCATTGAGGGGAGGCCTCAGATGGGGCTGCGAAGGGATTACTGTGGGCTCCCTGACTGAAACAATAAACTTCATAAACTAAATGAAATGGTGAATTTTAGACAGCTTTTTTTTATATTTGGTTTCTTAAAGTTTGAGTTATAAATACAATAAATACAAATTATATTATAGGCCTACATACAAATCTAGTTTTCATGGCTTTTCATTTAGCGGTACCAAAATTTACCCTATTCAAAAAACCTATGATGTAACACAGTCGTGGGTCACTTTGCTCCTATATTAATGTGCTGGCACCTTGAAAACAATGAGGTTCCTGTGTACTAGAGCTACTGAGCTTAATAGTATAGTGGATTCAAACCATTTTAAAGGTCCTAGCAAATCGTGATATGTGACAATGGTGGCTTTTAGTGTGTTAGACTTGGCTATAGGGTGCCTATAGGGTGCCCTGGAAAACCTGCATTCAACAAGGGGGCTGAGAATCAAACAAATTGGGGAGAAAAATATTTGATTCTAGCTGATTCCTTGCTCAATACCCGAGGAGGACATTGGCTTTAATTAAAGTGACATTTTTGAGTGACAATTATTGGCTCAAATTAAAGTGACATTTTTAGTGACAATTATTGGGTCAAATTAAAGTGACATTTTTAGTGACAATTATTGGCTCAAATTAAAGTGACATTTTTGAGTGACAATTATTGGCTCAAATTAAAGTGACATTTTTGAGTGACAATTATTGGCTCAAATTAAAGTGACATTTTTAGTGACAATTATTGGCTCAAATTAAAGTGACATTTTTGAGTGACAATTATTGGCTCAAATTAAAGTGACATTTCTGAGTGACCATTATTGGCTCAAATTAAACTGACATTTGTGAGTGATCATCCTTTAGTTTTACACAAATATCTGGATGGGGATTTTAGAATTTAAAAAAATTGTTTTATAATATAAATCACAGTCAACTTATGACTTCGTATGCAACTTAAGTCAACTTATGCCTTTCCATACCACTCAAGTCAACATATGCCTTCCCATACCACTCAAGTCAACATATGCCTTCCCATACCACTCAAGTCAACATATGCCTTCCCATACCACTCAAGTCAACATATGCCTTCCCATACCACTCAAGTCAACTTATGACTTCCTACGGGTGATTAACAAACGTTTTTAATCTCCTTCTTCTAATACAAATTATTGACTTCTGTGTGAATAATTTTAACATTGACAGAACAACTTTCCTGGGTTTATTCTTTTACTCAGCTATCATCTCTCCCACGCAGGCATCAGTTATTTGAGAAATTGATGCACTACAGGCCAGGTGAGGAAACAATAGAGTGATGCCCCCTTCCAGTGAAATCACTCTGAAATAATTTGTTACGATTTTGAACATATGTGTTACCTCCACCAAAAGGTCCTTGCGCTTCTGTCCCTTTTCTCGAGATCTACGGGCCGCTAAACGGTTTAGCTCACGCCTCCTGGCTCTCTTGATTAGCTCCTCTGAGGTTAACTGCTGGACAGGTGGAAAGGGACAAGAGAAACGTTACTAGACTTTCTTCACAAGCCCATCAAGAAAAACAAAGAGAATCAAGAAAAACTAAGAGAATAAGATTGGTTAGGCCTCAATAAATTTTTCTCATTTCAAAATTCAAATAATCCCTGCATTTATAAATTATTTCAATGTGTGACAAAACATCCATTTTATAATTTTGTTCTAGGTGGGCTATGGAGTAAAAACACAATAAAATAGTTCTAGGTTGTTACGACAGGGTAACTGTTAAAACTATTAAACTAAATCAGGGCTATTGTTAAATCAGAAGTTCCCAAAATTAAAACTATGATGATTAGTTTACATGTCAATAAACTGACTATTGTACTTAAGAAATGTGTATGACGTATAGCGAAACTTCTCATATTTTGGAGTAACTGACAGCATGCGAAAAGCCATTGTGCGAAACATTTCTATTTATTTTGATTGTTATCACGCTTTTTCATTTAAAGATCAATTTGACTCAGCCAAAGAAGAAAAGTTCAAAAAATATTTTAATTTAAATATATTTTTAAGTTATCACACATTTTTTTTATAGAAAATATTATATCTGCATATCAATTTTTTAAAACTCTGGCCATTCTTTGACTGTCAAACTGATGGTGAAAACCAGAAACAGTTCAAGTAATAATTATAATTATATCTGTGCCACTTTAGTGACCTAAACAGGTGGTTTTCAAACTGATTCTCCGTGTCGACCGATGGAATTGTCAAATATATTGAAAGGGGGCTAATTCAAAACTACAAAGATCTTGAGAGTTAATTGTTAAATCTGAAATCGTAGTAAGAACATTCAAAAGTTAGCATTAAACATAAATGCTCATGAGCTTACATCTTAAAATTGATATTTATGCAAAGTTAGTGCACAACCAACAGTTGAAATTAGAGTAATAATTGTTCATTTGGCAAAAACAATCAGGAACACACAGTTGATGAAAACTTGTTGAAAAGACACCACAAAACATACAAACTGCTCAGCTAAAAGCCTTCAACGACACCTCCCCAACATTTATTGCCTCATGTGATCTCACTTAACTAAAGTACTCAAAAAGACACAACTAACATATAAATGATGGCTTTTTGTCCACCAACACGTCAGCTTGTATGGCTTTCAAGAATACATCCATACAAGATTTCAAGAATACATCGATACAAGATTTCAAGGGCACGGACCAATTTTTTTTTTTTTTTTTTTTTTTTACATCTAGCAAAACAAAATCATCTGTATGAGGTACCTACCTCATCTTTCAGGTACCTACCTCATCTTTCAGGTACCTACCTCATCTTTCAGGTACCTACCTCATCTTTCAGGTACCTACCTCATCTTTCAGGTACCTACCTCATCTTTCAGGTATCTACCTCATCTTTCAGGTACCTACCTCATCTTTCACCGGTTTCTTGAATTCCACTTGAAGCTCCGCCTTACCCTCGGCTTTGCGACGGGACTGAATGATCCACTTGAGATCTTGTTTGATCAGGTTGCTAGGGTTACCCGAGTCCAAGGTTGCTAGGGTAGCAACCACAAGCTTCTCATCCTGCAACAACAAATATATCATTTATAAAAGAGTTGCAGAAATTACAGTGGCACAATTCCAACATCAAGTATAGTGGCACTATTCCAACATCAAGTATAGTGGCACTATTCCTACATCAAGTATAGTGGCACTATTCCAACATCAAGTATAGTGGCACTATTCCGACATCAAGTATAGTGGCACTATTCCAACATCAAGTATAGTGGCACTATACCAGCCCCTCAGTCATGATGAAGAAGCTGTAAGAATTCACTCACTTCAACTCATCTAAAGATTCAGGGGTTTCACACAAGCTCTTCCAACTGTTCGTGTTCTCTTACAAAAATTGTTAGTGTATTATCAAGACCAGGATTATCAAAGTTTTCAGCCGCTTAATATTATAAAAATTTGTCACAACTTTTTTCTCTTCTTGTTCTGATGTTTAATTTAACACAACTACTTAAGCAAATAAATTTCAAAATTACTTTGTCTTCATGGTGAGAAGCATTCTACCAGTAAGTTGACTACTGCATATAAATAGATTCAGTTACAATGAGCTCATTTTATTAACATATAACTCACATTCAGTTATAATTAGCCTATTGTATTCATAAGGAATGGAAGAATTATAAATCCATTTGAAATAATGTAATACATTTTATTGCAATTTGTTCAGTTAATAAAACATAATAATAAATGCCTGCTGAAAACCCTTAAGCAGAAATGTCAAATAAAGAATATTTTTTTGTTGTGCCTAATTCCTCTCAACTAATCCCTAGTCTGAATAAATTATTTCTTTTAAATTTACTATCTATACAAAAATGTATCATAAGATGATTATAGCAATCAAGGAACTTACTCTTTTCAACATTTCTAAATTCTCTGTTATCAGGAATTCAATTGATCTGCAAGATCAAAATCTACAAGCCACATCAACATACTGCTACTCTATCTAGGACATACAAAATCTACAAGCCACATCAACATACTGCTACTCTATCTAGGACATACAAAATCTACATGGTACAATTAATTTCTGGTTTTGACCAACGCCACCTTTTATGAATAAAGTAAGTTTGACATATTTCCAAACTATAATTATCCCCTGTGGCCTGGGAAGGTTGTTCTTATTAAGGTAAATGACAAAATATTCCTGATAATGGTTTTTGAATGGCTTAGTATCAGTGAAGCACTTTGAAGTAGCAGATTATGTTGATAGCGTTATGGCTGCATCATTAAAGATGCACTGATAATAGATATTGGTGCAGTTCTCAAAAAGAGATAATGAGTCAACTAAACTTAAGCTACGCAGAGTGTGGTTATGGATACTTAATATAGTTATTGAAAATGGCTTGGTGGTCATGATCAGAAGTCAGCTATCATGTCATGATATCACCAAGGAATAAATTTTAAGACTTGTATTATTAACAATGTAATTAAATTTAATTTATTAAAACCAACCCCCCCCCCCCCCGACAATATTTTGTAGTGTGAGAATAGGAAAATTGTAGTTTCCAATCAAAACTATGCATTAAAAAGGTATTTTAGTAATTAATTTATTATAGGAAAGTAAGTCCCCAACTTGCAGGGGCCAGAATCTGGTGTACATAGTGTTTCTAATCATCTTTTTACTTATATTTCGTTTCGATCTAATTATTATTCCCCAATTTTAGCTAAGGTCACCTGTACCAAATTTCGTGAATTTAGAAGTCCCGACATGCTGGTCACTGAGACAGGTGAGGCCGGCAGCGACTTGGAGGCTTGGGGTGACATGATGGCACCATCGCATGATATGTCTGAGGCATGGGCGCTCAGGTTGCCGATCATCGAGACATGGACTGATGTGGAATGAGTGGTGACAGTGGTGGTCATGATGAGGATGAAGAGTGATGTCCCCTACACCAGGCATCTGGCAACAAAAGGAACTCATGTTTAATCGCTGGTGGATCTGGAATGTCTCTAAATTATATAAGTATATTCTCCCGCCTAAACACCCGAGGGCTTGTGTGCCCCTCCTATCCCATCCACCTAAACATCCAAGGGCTTGTGTGCCCCTCCATCTAAACACCCGAGGGCTTGTGTGTCCCTTAATTCTTTGGACCCCACTTAACAGCAAAAACTTACATTCAAAATTTAATAAATTAAAAGTGACAAATTATTGATGAAATGTTTAAAAAGAATTATTCAGTTTCAATAAGAAATAAACAGAGTTGCACACTAGCAGCAATTGTCTTCATGTCCTGTTTGCAGTTTTGTCTCATGAATTCTTGGAAAATGTTACAGTGATCTATCTTTATTCCTTAACTATTCACTACCATAAAAAACTACACACTACCATAAAAAACTATACAATGTGGGAAAGGTATTTTGAAAAAACAAAATCACAACAATGAACCATTAGCTTGAATGTTGACACATTCTTTAGTTGGAATTTCACTACAGGTTGGTGCAACTAACAAGGTCAAAATAGGGCTGGATGAAGAGCCTTTAACAGTGTTGTGCAGTGATTGGGGACATCTGATCAACTGTCATGTGCTGACTCAGTAGAAATATTGTCAATGTTGAAAGACAGGGCTTAAACCTAACAGACTGGACACACTTGCATTTTAAATAATTATTTGAAGAACAACTTCCGGAAAGAAGTGTGTTGAATTAAATTTTACAATTTTTAATTTTAATTAGAGTTAAACTAGAAAAGTGGAAATAAGTGAACAGATTTGTAAATATTATAACTAAAATTTTTACCTCTAACAAGAACCTGACCAGAATTTCCATATTTAAATAAACACACAAAAAAAAATAGATGTTTAACTTTGTTGTCTTTAAAAACTAAGATTTGTTGTGCAGTTAAGTTTAAATGGCAATTACATATGTATCTTTTTTTCCGAAGTGGCCTCGATGAATTAGAATTAGTGAGAAAAAACATTTATTAGACTCTACATCTTTGTTACTTGTGTAACAAATGTTACATTTATTAATTTATAATCCTCTGACTCTATGACCAGAGTAAGACTGTATGACCAGAGTTATCCTTAAATTGAAGAATTAATTAAAGAATTGTTAAAGACTAAATATTATTGTCGGCACATTTATTGTAAAGATTTTTCTAGCTGCTATCATCTTCTCATGGATAACACAAATGTTCCTCTGCTTTAATAATGGGCATAGTGGCTGGCTCATTTAACCTAGTGGCTAATTTAACATGGCCATATTTTTTTTAAACTGGTCTAGCTATTCAATGCTTAAAATATCATTTTTTTCCCGTTTTGACAGTGTGCAACACTTGCCAGCAAATCTTTTTGTCTTTTGGAAGCCAATTGATTGACCAAGTTCTTTTTTGTTGAGAAGCAGTTGGTCATTTCTGAGGACTACAAATGCATTGTCTGAACATCTGAAATAACTGGACAATTTAAAGCCATAAAAATGAACAATTATTTTAGAATTCATTTTCTATTGAAGTAGATATCATTTTTTTAAAAATAACATTGATGACATTTGACATATTTTTTATTGACAAGAATAAAACTTAGACTAGGCCTGCTTATTATTATATTTATATTGGATAGTCCCTATATATTATTACTAATAGTAATTTAGTAGTAATAGTATTATTAGTATAGATACAATTATATTCAATATAGTAAAAACAAATTTAATAAAAAGCCACAGTCACAGTAAACCAAAAGCAAAATAAACCAAAAGTCTAACAGGTGAAGTTAATTGTTAGTCATTCTGCCTGCATGTGGTGACATGTATTCAAAAGGCTGACACCCAACTGATATTTCTTGCAGAACCTGATATTTCTTGCTAGTATAAGTGCTACAAGTAGTATCATTTTATGACATGTATGTGAACACTTCTGAACAGGTAGGCAGGTTCATGATTATTGAATTATTGGTTTTACTAAGTGTGTCACTGCCACGCTTGTTTAAACCTTCTTTTGTATAAAAACCCAACTAAAACACACTTTGGCCCTCTGCATTTCTTATCTTGAGACCAGCAAGTTCAAGTTGCAACTTGGGACCTAACAGATTTAATGCAACGGTTGCAAGGGGAGAGTGCCTATGCCTATCACTACTACCACCACCAGCTTTGCCCTCAGCCTATATTTAAATTTATGCAACATATAAATAAAGCTTTCCAGTTCTAATAGGGCGAAATCTTCTACCTCTCTTGCTCCCACTACCTAACGTAGCATAGCAAGTTAATAGGAGTTTAAAAGACGAAAAATGAAAAAAAACAAAATAGATAGCAAGGCGCTAGCCGGGAAATAAGGTCATTCATTCTAAAACATGAATAGAGCCCTCGCTTGTACGCATTCCGATCTTTACTCATTATCTAAAAATAGCCATGAGATAACTGGGACGAATGGTTCTGATTGGCTGACAACCACAACCAAGGTGTCAATCACGTTTTTTAGCCACGACATGTCGTTCAGCCGGGGAGAAACGAGCTGGGGTGAATGCCGATTGCTTTTGTATAACTATGGAAAAACTGAAATCAAGTTAAAACAAAGGCCACGTCTCTAAATTAAAACAAAAAAGACATATATCGAAGGTGGGGTTGAGTACCAAATTAAGAAACACTTCGGGGAAGTTGCATGTCTAAATTTATCGATGATACGTGGGAACAGAAAGTGATCTCCCCTTTCCACTACGGCGTGTGGCCTTGTGCCGTAGTACGGTAAGGAGGGTGTAAGGACAGTGGGGTCGACACAGATACATCGCTTTAACGTAATACTTTTACATTATTGCTAATAAATTTAAACGGTACTCACCAATGCTAGTATCACGCTACTAGTCTTAAAAGCTATTTAACCAAATGCAGCTTGAATTTTGCAGATATCATTGTTTCTTTGCACCGAAACACGCCAGACGCCTTTCCACGAATCACTAGGTGGCCACGCAAGGGGAGAGCAGTCTAGACGACGGGTTTGTACTTCTTCAAAACAAAACCAATGGAGTTGCTCGCTTTAAATTTGGGATAAGCTTGAAGCCAATCCGATAAGAAGAATTTGAATGACTCGAAATTTCAAACCTCTACCGGATTAAGAATTTTTAGTGTACACATACCCTTAATGGACATCTAAAAGATGGGGTTTTGTTGAGACTGTCATTTGTTGGACTCAGTTTTTAAACAATGTCAATGTACTGTTGATAACACCGAATCGATTAATAAATAGGCCGAGCAATGCTAGTTATTATAGACTTTATAATTTATAGACACAGTAATAGTCACTGTGTTCGTGTATGACACTTAACATAATAAAATTATTAATTCGAAAATTAAGTTTTAGTTTGATAAAATAAGTAAACTGTTACAAAGGTTGATTTTTTTTTTAATCGTTGTTTATTTGATATCAAGTTATGATTTATTTATTTTACTTGTATTTTTTTGTTTCTTTGGGTTTTTTTTAAACATCTCGGTGGTGTCAGTTCATCTGAATTATGTAGGCCAAACTATAGTCACAATCATAATGATAGTGAAAAAAATATTCACAGAATCGACAGCCTTCAAAAGTCTTCAGCAGTCAAGACGAGTGTTTTCTTAAGGACATTTAATCGAAACTTTCGATAAACTGTCATTTTTTAGTGTAATAAAAGGAAAAGAAGAAATTGGAAATTAATTTTACGGATGAACGATTCTATGACTTGGAATTTCAAATGTTTGCTTTTGATGAACTAGTGTTTGGACGAGGTTGGAGAAAGGGTTCGGAAGAAGGGGAAGTAAGGTGGGGGAGGATATATGAAGGAAGGAAGGTGGGTGGGGGGAGAAGGGTATGGTGAAGGTGAGGGAAAGAAGGTTGAGAAGAGGAGGGAAGTTGAAAGAAGATAATAGAGGTCGGGGAGCTGGAAGTTAGGGGATGAAGCCAATGGAAAAGGCCTAAAATGATAAATAATGGTAACGACAGATCTTCTACAATGTATACAAATATCTTTTTGTAATGAATTCTTGTTATGAGCTGATGAGTGAGTGGTTGGCAAAACTCGGAAATCTGAGGCCCGGGTCACTTGATATTCTGAGGTCCATCCATCCCTGTGGCACTACAGCCCATGTAGGGCTTTTACCTGAATCACAACATCCTTTAACACAGACCTAACTGATGCTTTTTATTTTCCATGCCTGGATTCCCAGCTGCTGTAAACCCCTCTCCACGTCATCCAGCCATCTAAGCCTAGGTCATCCATCCATCTAAGCCTAGGTCATCCATCCATCTAAGCCTAGGTCTGCCATTTTCCTCTGGGGTTTTGGTGGTGCACCCTCTTCACTCCTCAGTCATTTGTCTTTCTTGTTAAAAGTCCGGCCAAGCTTAGTCTGCCATTTTTTAAAAAGTTTCTGCTACTAATGTTGGATCCTGATATAGTCGATACAATTCCTGGTTGGTTAGTATTCTCCATCCATATTCACCCGTTGTTGGTCCCAGTGGCGTAGCTAGGGTTGGTGTCACCCCCTCCACCCCAACTTCCGCGATGGATTTCTTTTGATATAAGTACACGGCATAACAATGACAAAGTAATTGAAGGTCCGGAGCAGGGCCGTCATTTGGGTGAGGAATCCACCCCTCCCCCTTTATCCTTTTTGAATTTTGTAGGTTCTTTTTAAATGGCTTTATACTTGTACTGTGGCGCCTCCAGTAATAAACAACTTAACCAGCCGACCAAGTTTGGGTTTTGGCGCCCCCCTCCCCCCCCAAAAAAAAATAATTAAATAAACAACCTGAAATGACGCCCCTGGTCAGTAGGTCAATGTATTTAAGAACTGTAACAACATTAAGTTATAATTATTTTTACATTGAATTTAATTAATTTAAAATTGTCCTTTCCTGGTCTTCAAATCTGCAAACCTGTCAATCTCTCGATCAAAATCAATTT